ATCACAGGGTATCCTTCCTGAGTTATGCAGCTGGACAAAAAAATTGGAGTTAGGTTTACACAGAATTTGTTCCCCAAAGAAATTCTGTATTAATAATACTAACAGATCTCTGAATCTTTTCCTTCACCCAAACAATGATTTCTGCAAGCCGAGGTATCTTAAGAAAACATGAAACTCCATTTACACCAAACACATTTCAAACAGAGTAACAGTTGGCAAGAACAGATTAAACTGACTGAGATAATTTATCTGCCTAGTAAAACGGCTTAATTATTTTGGGATATTGCTAAGGTGCTTACCTCTTGATTTGTTCTAAAGCACTATATATTCCATTGGTGCAATGAAACAGAGCAGCTTTTAGAAGCATTTCTGCAATATTTCAGAAAAGCTTTCCAAAGTACTTTTATGGGTAAACTGTATCCGGGTGGGTGGGTGGGTGGATGTACAAATTTTTTCTTCTCTTTAGGATGAGAGTTTCTTTTCCAGGGAGAATTACTTTGTGCCTGTCTGTCCTTACCCCAAATCTGGATTGCAGTTCTTATCTCTTCCTTGGACCATACCAACAAGGATAACTCTGCAGGAGTTCGTGTTCCCTGTTTGCTCTCAGGTTCATTGATCATGTCTAGAGGGCAATTTCCCAGGAGAGGAATCTCTTTTAATAGCTGAGTAGCCATCTTAGCAATAAACTCAGCTTGGTCGTATAGAAAATAGAAGAAAGATGAATTGAATGTTATCGCTGGACTTCTTCCGAAAAGCCTGGGACTTGCAAAAAGAGACAGGTTGAGACGGAAGACATTTATCCATACAGAGATCAGAAATTGAATCTAGCTTGGTGGAACTTAATATCTGATAGATTACTTTGAAGCATTGATTTGCCCCAAATTGTATAACAGTGAATGGAGAATATAAGAAACTAGCTCTATACCCATGCTTTGCGATGAAACTATGATCGGGCTTAGTTTTGGGGGAAGAAAATAAGGGGGGGGGAATTATGCCTCTGCCTACCAGCATCCATTGGTATTCATCTGGCTAGCGTCCTGTCAGCGTGTGAGAGAGTTGAGGGCTGTTTGGAAACTGAAATAGTATTTGCTGTGTGAGCAAGAAGGTGACAGCAATGAGGCTGGGCGTGGCTTAGCTCAACTGTTCTGTACTAAAGTTGGTTGTTGCTGTGAAACTAAAACTGAAACTCCTCTGCTTGTGTTTTGCATTTGGAACAGATTTCTTTTCAGGTGGCGAGGGGGAATAGAACTCCTTAGCATCAGAGCGTGTTAATAGTAATATACGAAATACTAATGCTCTGGTGGTCATTTCGAACAATCCTTTCTTAGTGATCCCCTAGAAGCCAAGAGGAACATAAGTGCCAAATTTCAAGTTCGTATGCTTTACGGTTCTGGAGATTTTGTGATGATGCATGAGTGGTATTTCACTTTTATATATAGAGAGAGTGGTTAATCTCCTGAAGTCCTTATGATAGAATCTTAGACACGGAGCTCCTGAATTGAATGCAAGGTGATAGGAAAAGATCCATGTCAGCCAGTCTAGGATATCATGACTGGAATATCATTGTCCTTGTTCCACATTATATTGATTATGATTTGCCTACTGGTGTCCATCATTTCTAACTGGCTTGCAAGCGACAGTCTTGGACTCAACCTCCTGCTTCCTCGGTGCAAACATGCCTGTATTATCCTTTTATCAGGAAACTACAGATGAGAGAAGCAAAGGGAAACAAAGTCTACAACATTTATAGTTCGGCTTCGTTTGAGTGCAAAAGTGCTTCATTGTATGGATGTGTTTGCGTTCAGCCTTCTAAAGGTAGAAATCAAGAGCAGAGGAATACGGTGTGAAATAAGCAGTCATGTCTACACTTTGAAGAGCCCTTTCTTGTTCTTTTTGATTCTTCCCTGATTCAGAGCAGAGGTGGTAACTCAGCTGGTTCTGACAGGTTCTGGAGAACCGGTAGCGGAAATTTTGAGTAGTTTGGAGAATCAGCAAATCCCACCTCTGACTCGCCCCGCCCCCATCTATTCTCTGCCTCCCAAGTCCCAGCTGATTGTCTTCTTTTGTTGCCCTGCACAGGAGAACGGAGCTGGAAAGCAGGTTAGTGGGATGGGGAGGGAATGGAGATTTTGCAATATATCCTTCCCCTGGAGTGGGGTGGAAATGGGGATTTTATAGTATCCTTCCCCTGCCACGCCCACCACGCCACACCCAGCAAGCCACGCCCACAGAACTGATAGTAAAAAAAATTGAATACCACCACTGTTCAGAAATACAAATAGAAAATTCAAGACTAACCCTCCTCAATATGATTTTGCTAGTATGGATTGTGGCTGGTGTCTATGGAGATCATCAAGTCATCCAGATCATAGTTGTCCCAAAGGTGCTTTTTCAAGAGGCAACTGGACTTTCTTGGTTTTTCTTTTTTCTTTTTAAGACCTTTCGCTTCTCATCCAAGAAGCTTCTCAGAGCTTCTCAGAGTTGAAGAAGGTTCTTGGATGAGAAGCGAAACATCTTCAAAGTAAAACCAGAAACTCCAGTTGCCTCTTGGGGGGAAAAAAAGCACTTTTGGGACAATTGTAGCTGAGGGTTACTTTGAGTTCCACATAGCTAGAGGACACCAGGTTTTGCACTTCTGAGTACTGTGTTTCAAGAAAGATTCAGAGGAAGTGGAATCACTTTGAAAAAGTACCAGACATAAGATTGGGGACTAGAAACTTGCATGAAAGAAGGAAGAAGCTATCTTTAGACTTGAGAACTTAAAAATAAGGCGTGGGATAACAGACTCAAATCCTTGAGAACTCTCACATGGAGAAGACCAAGACATGGCTCACTACCATCTCAACTTGCAATAAACAGAATGGTCACCCCAAAGATGCTTTTCCAAAAGGCAGCTGAACTTTTTCCCCCTTGAAAATGTTTCACTTGTCATTCAAGAAGTTTCTTCAGTTCTCTGAAGCAGGGGTCTCCAACTTTGGCAACTTTAAGCCTGGCGGACTTCAACTCCCAAAATTTATGGGAGTTGAAGTACGCCAGACTTAAAAGTTGCCAAGGTTGGAGACCCCTGCTCTGAAGGATAAGCTGAAGAAACTTATTTGATGGGAAGTGAAACATTTTCAAGGGGAAAAAACCCCAAGAAAGTCCAGTTGCCCTTTGAAAAGAACCTTTGGGACAACCGTCAACTGGAGGATTGAGAATCTCCATCGATGATACAGAACGACGTTTTCAATTTACAGGGAGGCAGTGGGTGTACACCAGGGGTGGGCAACTATGGCCCTTTTATGAATTATGGACTTCAACTCCCAGAATTCCTGAGCAAGCATGGCTTACTCAGGAATTCTGGGAGTTGAAGTCCATAATTCATAAAAGGGCCATAGTTGCCCACCCCTGGTGTACACTAAGGCAAAGAAGAAAAATCCTAATAACCAAAACAGTTTGGCCATCGACGATTTGAAACAGCAACAGGTTCCTTTGCTAGATGCTTTTTAAGGAGCTGTTGTATAGCCAGCGCCACTAAGGATGCTTTCACTTCAAATCCAGGAAGCCTGGCTTTATTCTTCCTGTTGATCTGCTAAGACAGGGATGTCAAACTCAAGGCTGGATCCGGCCTGTGGGGTGTTTAGATCTGGCCCGCAGGGCGGTGCCTCTGC